TGATTTGACATATTATGATATCTCAACAAATATAAAATGATATTAAATAGAAGGAATAGGCTCCAAAGAATAAATCATATAGTGAAATAATTGCCTATGATAGCCGACATGAGTGTTGGTGTGTGAAATTCTTATTGTTACCAATATCCACATACGATCTACGCGCCTTATGATTTGTCGGTCTTGAAACACAGCTCTTTGCATGAAGCCGGAAACTTGTAACTGATTGAATTAACGAACAATTTAATATCTTTCGATGCTAATATTTATTTATATAAAATTCCCCCTTCTCCAAACTTATAAAGAAATTTATTGCGAAAAATAACACCTTAGTTCTCAACCGGGAATCGAACCCGGGCGTTCTACCATTTGACCACCATTTAAATTAATAATTAAATTCCATTTGTGTAATGCATTTTTACTCGAATAATCAGACTGACGTACACATTGCCGCTCAGTAGTATATACCCATATTTGTTATAAATAGTAATCTTTATTCCATGCTTTTACCTTATTGCAATTTTGGTCCAAACGTAAATTTCGATTATAAATACGAAATGTCTAATCCCTATCTAAGATTTTTAAATTGAGAGTTTTGTATCAATTTTATCCGCAGCATTGTCTTTCTCGTGAATTACATCGCTGACAGAATACCTTCTGTCTAACGAAGAACTTTTTTCAATCGCAATGTCGTTACGCCGTCTAGAACATATACGCCGCGCTATCACGGGAAAGAATAAATTAATGTCTAACTCGTTATTTTGATTCTTAATAAATAAACCAGACAAATTGCTGACAAGCATTCCAAGCAAAAACGTTATTAAGAATCCGATGGGCGGATACCACAAACTCGAAATGCGATATAAATAGAAGTATGAGCTGTCGCCAGTGCTTCTGAAAAAAAGATATGACAATAATTCATTAAATAACCTCGCGTGCGTATATGTATATGGTTTGCTGAAATATGGAAAAATTAGATCAGATACAATTCTGAAAATGCTCAGACAGTCAAATGTCGAGATCAAATTTTGAAAGTGTCTGCTACAAATTTTATCAATAGAATGACCGCATAAATATAACAGATTTAGGTAACAGGACATAATGGCGGATTGACCGCAGAAACTGACAATAAGTATAATCTGCCTTTTATTAACATATAACAATTTTATATGCTTTCCATTAAAATGTTTATAAGATTACAGATTCTGCTTGATTTCTTGATAATAATTAATCTGCTGTTATTCTCTCGGAAAACATGAATTTAATGAAAATGTAAACATATTTTATTTGTGTCAATATCAAAGCTAACTATTCTACAGCCAATTAATTCGTTATCACAACGGGCAGTTTGCTTACCAATTGGAAATTAATTATGTTGAAAAATCAAATTTACGTAGCATACTCAAGAAAGATGATAATGCCAAAGAGTTATGACATTCGAATAACTAATTCGAAAAGTCCATATAATTATTTGAATAATCCCACACAATTATTTTTACACTGTATCTGGCCTAATCTTTATATTCAATACTCTTCAAAACTTCTTTGAAAAGCGTTTTTTCCGTTGTAGTTTGATGAATCACTTACTTAGAAAAGTTCGTGACGTTCTGTAAAACGGACATTGTCATATTTGTAACATTATTATCACAGCCATCGATAATAGTTGGCAATTTAGGTGATGTCGGGCGGGGTTGTCCGAAGGCGACCCAGACTAAAAATGAAAACGCCACGAAAAAACTGATTATCGCACCACTTTCCGTCGTCGATTCTGTTCCCATGCCAAGTGTGAAAATGCCTAACAATGGACCGCCAGTTATTCCCATAATAATGTAGAAAGCCTAAAATGACAGAAATCTATTTTATTGCCACTAATCTTTCAAGAGAAATATTTCATTTGAAATATTTATAAGCATTACCTGAAATAATCCGCCAAAAAATTGCGCTAAAAATGCTAGAATAATGGAAAAAATGCCGACCGTAAAAGCGAGCACTTTAGCAATGAAAGCTGATTTTGTAGAAGAGAATTCATGCCCAATATACTTTCTATATAAAGGTTTCAGAAAATCCTCTAACATTACGGCCGCCAGAGAATTTATCATTGAAGAAATCGTGCTAACGCTTGCACTAAAGATACCTGGAAATACAGATAATCAAATATAATATTAGTGTTAATCCAGTGCGCACTTCTGTTTGAGAACTGTCTTCATTATACATAAAAAAGAGAATCTAAGATGACTACCGCAAACGTATTAATTGATTGATTTTATTTTAAAATTGTTTTAAAAACACGCCTAAAATTATATTTTAAATATTGAAGTTTTCAAATATTTTTATTTTCATATTTTAATATGAAATTACTATAAGATATTAAAAGATATTAAGAGATATTAAGCTACGACAAAGTCAATTTGCGGTAAAAATATTTACCTGCCACAAAAAGGCCTGGTATACCAGGTATATTAGACATCGTGTCTACAACGTACAATGGCATAAGCATATCAGGCGAGGTAATTCTTTTCTGGAGAAGCGGATCGCAATTGTGGTATCTGCTGTACATCGCCAATCCTGAGAAGCAAATTGCAGTCATAAGAAGTGTCTGAATAGGCCAAGACAGCCATAGAGCTCTTTGTGAAGACAGCATATTTCTAAAACAAAATTTTCTTAATTCACTTTTCTTCAATTTCTTTAAACGTACTTTAATTGATAAACGATAATTTAAATGATATAAAAAAAGAAAGTTTATTTAATAATTAAGTAAACAGAAAAAAAATTAAAATTATATAACTAACTGTCATTGTTTTATACACGACTAATAAGACGTCAGTAATTGCTCTACTATTTAATAATTTTCAATCTTATTCAATTACTCGAATAGAGTAATGAGACATACTTAACAGTTAGCATACGCTGTATTTGTACTTGGTTCACTCCGAAAAGTATTAAAAATGTACAGAAACCTCCCAGTATAATGGACCACCAGGTATGTTTTACTGTTGGATCTAAATCAATACTATAAGATAAGTAAAATATTAATTTGTGTTTAGGTGCAATTGGCCAAGTTCATACTAATATAGAAAAATAGGTTACCTATCAAACTCGAGGCGTTGCCCTTGCCTCGCGATTTCCCATATCCGTTCCAATCCTCCGACATCATTTGCTGCTGAGCCAATAATTAAAAACACGGCGGCGAACATAAGTAAAATTTGAAATACGTCGGTTGTTAACACAGCTTTA